TCTTTCCCTTCTGGGGAAGTAGCTACAGAGAGTTACTTGCGTCTCATGAGCTCCAGTACCCAAGGGGGCTTTGCTCGCTTGTTTTGACCTCAGTGCACCAGTCTACAGAGGCATGTCTGAGTCTAAACTGGGCGATTCGCGTGCTCTTAGCACCTTCTTCTGCTTGTCTTCTCCGCTGCCTGAGAAGCAGGTCACGAAGCTGCCCATGAGCATGCAGCCTGGGTCTCCTGGCCTGACACAATTTCAGACCAGGTGGTGACAGCCAGGCTGTGGCAGGCTAGAAGGATGACAGTAGTTCTGGACCTGCAGCACCCAGTCATGGCCCAGCACCCCCACTGCTCTTGTCCCTCCCAGCACACTGATAGGCAGTGAAGCTGTTGGCCCCAGAGGGATCAGAGATGGTCACGAAGTTTCGTCCATCAGAGAACAACCAGGAGATGGAAATCACAGCTACTTGAGCAGGGCAAGTTAACTTGAGAAGCTGCTAAACTGTAATGGCGCCTTGGCTAAGGGAGAGTACCATGGTGGACAGGGAGCCCCACCCCATGTTGGAGGTGCTGACTTCTTTGGGGAATGGTGGCTTCAGCCCCTGGGGTGGGAGTCTGCTGTGCGGCCTGGGCTGGAGCTCTGGTCCTGTATTGGGTTGACATTTCTTTCTTTCTTTCTTTCTTTCTTTCTTTCTTTCTTTCTTTCTTTCTTTCTTTCTTTCTTTCTTTCTTTCTTTCTTTCTTTCTTTCTTTTTTTAAGAGGTTTTTGCTATAGGGCATGTGTGCTCGCCGGAAAGACAGAGAGAGACAGAGAAACAGAAAGCAAGAAATCACCCCCCGGGGGGGATGGCCATGCCACAGTTCCTTCTCCTCCATTCTCCTCTTAGGATCTTGATCAACCCCAGGCATGTGGGCAGAGCCAGAATCTTTAAGATAGTTGGTTGGGAGGATCTGGGTGTGTGGAAATGAAAGGTGCCCAGGAGAGTTGAGTGTGCAGCCTCGGCTTAGGACCAAGGACCTAGAACATAACTCACATGCTCAGCATTGCTCTTCAAGGTAGGATGCTGAGTGTGTCTGGTCTGATCTTAGTGGAGTTTGCAGCAGGAGATCCGGGTTCTGATGCAAACAGAACTCCTGTTCCCCAGAAGGGCTGAGACCTTTCCTGGCCTAGGATACCCTAGAGCAGGAGACAATGTGGGGAAGCTTCAGGGAGTGCAGGAAGGAATTTAGTCACTGGTTTCACACCACAGCTTTGGAGTCAATGTGGGGGAGGGTGGCTTATAGAGTCTGAGGATACTGGGGTGCAGGACCCTCCATGGTTTCCTTGGGAGCTTCAGGGGAGGCTGCCTTACAAAGTGCCCCCTAAGCCCTTGGGCAGATGCCATCCTG